CAGCCTATTTGTGAATTTCTAATTTGCGAATTTACCCCCATAGTATTGATGACCTTAGATTAAATTTGAGGTATTTTTATTATATAATTATTTATATTATTTATTTATATTATTTATTTACATTATTTATTTATATTATTTATTTATATTATTTATTTATATTATTTATTNTAAGTTGGTTCGACTTACATCCCTTTTCCAAAATTGTATTAAAACAAAATAGTTTGCGAAAATTTCTTTTTAGCAGTCTATGATCCAAGAAATTTCTAATTGTATAAGCTATTTTTTCATACAGCCTATTTGTGAATTTCTAATTTGCGAATATTACCATTTTATTATTATTGATGATTTTAAATTAAATTTGAGATATTTTTATTATATAATAATTTATATTATTCATATATATTATTATTTATATTATTTACTTATATTATTTATTTATATTATTTATTTATATAAATTTTTATATTATTACTTTAATTTTATTTAACTATTCATAAATTTACACTATTATTTTATTTTAGCATTTAACTTCGATGTCCAATTTAAGACCTTATTTTAACGGAAAATATTATGACCATTGAATAAATTGTAAATTTATAATCAAATTTTAATCATTCAAATGTGAATGAATGAAATTTAAATGAATGAATACAAAAATATTGTCTTCAGGGTTTGAATTTCGCTGTACAGAAAATGCAGAGACTTCTCCAGTCCTATATGTAACATTTGCTCAAAGACTCGCAGATTCTGTAGGAACTTTGTTATATGCAAATGCTCAAACAATTACACGTATTGTGAACTGATGAACGAATTAACATCAAATGTGAGAGGCCTTTCATACAAATACATGCTCGGGAAGGGGATTTGAGCTACAACATTAATGTTGACAACAATTTCAAAAAAGGAATCATATTTAATTAACTGAACCAAAAATGTTAAGAAAATTATGAAATATAATATTTTTGATATGATTTCAACGATAATTGAGTTTGGTTCTGATTAATCCAGATTTGGTAAATAAAGGCTAGTTAAATTTTGAACATAAATTTTTTTTAACACTAATATTATAAATAACTGAAAATTTATCCTTATAATTAAACAATATATTTAACAAAAAAAATACATTTATCTTTTTTTTGTAGCAATTGGAAATAATGAATGATTTACAAAAAATTAAGTGATTAAGCTATTTTATCATTTTTTAAACGGTAAAAAAGTAACAATCATTTACGTAAAATAAAAGTTAGTATAATAAAGTAAAATGAAAGAAAAAATTTTAGTTCATGTATAAAAAAGAAATTTAAATGCATGCATAGTTAGTAAATTATTTCAATAAATCAAAACATTTAAATTAATTAAATAATTATACCAACAGAAATATTTTAAACTTCTTCTGTCACAAATGAAGAAGAAAGTCAATAAAAGAAGAGTAAAAAAAAATTAATGGCAAAATAAAAGTTTTGCCTTTTTTGAAGTAATTTTTAGGGCATACATCATTAAAAATTTGAATCAATTGATTCATTTTTTTCTCAATAAAACAGAATTATTACACAGGTAAAGGAATTTTTTAAATAAAATTAAAACTACTAAACATTTTTCCCGGTTTCCGTTACAACTAATGCAGTAGTTTTTAACTAGAAAGGAACTTTTAAGCAAAATAAAAGCTTTGCTTAACTATTATTGCAAATTTTTAACCTTAAATGCTTGTAAATAGTGTTAATGACAAATGAACGAAATAAAATCACTCAGAAATTGAATAAAAGCTTTTTACACAATAAATAAATTATTTTTGTGCAATTAAAGAACTACGTTATTATACACAAAGTGCAAAAACAAAACTCAAGTGAATTTTTATGAAAATAATCACAATTTCGTCCAATAAGGAACTATTCTCAATAAATACATGCCATAAGCATACACAAAACATACCTAATGGAAAAACAAATTTCTCATCTCATTGCTTTAAGAAAATGTCGTAAGGAACCTAGAAATAATCTTTTTTGACAAAATAAGGAACTATCGGGATATATTTCAATAAAACGTATAATTTCAGTAAACAAAATTCAATTGAAGAGTGTTTTAAAAGAAAAAAAATATATAATCTCTTTTAAATGAGAGATTTTTGTATAAAGGTGACACTCATATAGTTACCCTTAAATTAGATATAACAAAGATTTCAGTATGAAGGCGATATTATATAATCTCCTTCAAATGATAGGTTAAAGATTTCAGTTCTAAGATGATATCATATAGTCTCCTTCAAATAATAGTTTAAAGATTTTAGTTTTAAGATGATATCATATAGTCTCCCTCAAATGATAGTTTAAAGATTTTAGTTTAAAGATTTTAGTTTTAAGATGATATTATATAGTCTCCTTCAAATGATAGGTTAAAGATTTCAGTTCTAAGATGATATTATATAGTCTCCTTCAAATGATAGGTTAAAGATTTCAGTTCTAAGATGATATCATATAGTCTCCTTCAAATGATAGTTTAAAGATATTAGTTTTAAAATGATATTATATAGTGTCCTTCAAATGACAGGCTAAAGATTTTAGTGTAAAAGTAAGATGCATATTCATCTTCAAATGACAGATTAAAGATTTTAATGTAAAAGTGAGATGTATATTCATCTTCAAATGACAAGTTAAAGTGACTTGTATAATCACCTTCAAAGACAAGTTAAAGATTTCAGTTCAACAGTGACACAAAAGAGTCAACTTTAAAGGAAAGATCTAAGATTTCAGTATAAATGGTGTGAAAATTCAGGATAATTAAACTTCAAAAGTAATCTTGAAATTAAGAAAGTTTAGTGATAGACAAACATTTGGCTTTAGTTTCAATTAGTGTACATTCTTGTTATTATTATTTTTTCTACTTTAAGGTTTTTAACAACAAAGCTCCAGTTACCCTTTTGCTATTTTTGGCAAATATTTAGCTTTAGGAAATATACACATGGTCAAAAATATATCCATACAAATATTTCATTCTTTTTCAATAAGTACTTACATAGTTTTCTTTAAAAGTTAAACACACTCTTCAATTAAATCCTTAGAAAGTTCACAAATATAAAAAAAAGTATTCAAGTCTTTTTTCTTTCCTGTCCACTCCAACAAAAATATGCAATAGCAATCAAAGCTAATCAAAGATTTTTCAACTAAAATAATAAATGAAATAATACATAAGTAAATAATGAATATGATAAATTTTAATAATAGCTACATAATTTATATAGCAGCTAAAATAAATTGCATTCAAGGTAGATGCCGGTTGTAATAGCAAAAATTTAAAAAAAAATGATAAAAACAACTCTTTTTCTTATTTTTTTACACACTATAACTACATCTATACACATAGCACAAACAACTCTCATTTGAAAAATAGAAATCTAACCTTTTTTGTTCAAAAAATTCGTAAACCTTACTTTTTGATTAAATATATTAGTTTTGTTTTTAACAGAAAATTTGTTCATATATTTATCAATTTTTTAAAAGAATTTAAAACAATTATTTTTTAAAAATAAAACTAATAAATAAGGTTTATTCAAATAACAATTTTAAATGTATTATTACTTATAAATAGAGTATAAAAATAGATTAAATATAAAATAAGTCATTTGTTTTATTTTTAAAGTAGTTTTTTAAATTCAGTATATGGACAATAATTGAAATCGTTAAAGGAAAATTTGTTTAGTGAAAGTAATTTTTTGAGCATCTTTTTTAAAAAATTTATTAAAAGAATTTAAGTTTGCTAATTTATTAATAAAAAATTAAATAAATAAATTAGAATATTCAAATAACTCAGAGTATAATATTACTTCAAAATGATATTTTTAAAAAGAATTAAATTAAACAGAATTAAATTAAAAAACGGAAGTTTTTTTTCAACATCAGAAAAAAATTAATTCGTTTTAATCATTCAGTTAGACAGATTTTTTTTTTTCATATTATTTTTCGAAATTTTAAGTTTTCTTATAATTCACATATTTGTAAACAAATAAATACATTCAAAGAATAAACATTTAGAGTATAAAAGATATTTTTAAAAAAATATTTAAGGAAATAAGTAATGAAGAGATTTTTTTTTCTTCAAAATTAATAAAGATTAATTTGTTACAACAAAAACTAGTTGTTTTTTAACGCAAAATCTGAACAATAATTCAAATTCCAATAAAATATTTTTGATAAACATAAAAGCAAGTGGCAAAAGTATTATATTATACAAATAATTTAAGCAATTAAATTTTGCAAACGAAAAACATTCTGTATTTTCCTTTAATTTATTTTTGTCAGAAAAGGTGAGACTTCTATTTTTCACATGTAACGACAAAAATAACAATTGAGGAACTTTTATACCATATTTAATGAAACGAAATTGCAATTGATCGATTCTTAGCAAAGTTTTAAAAGCAAAAATTGTTTGGCACCGCCGAATTTTATGATTTCCAATTTTTGACTTTAAAAAATTTGGAATCCAATTTTCACTTTGAAAAATTCAGCTATACCTCCTACTTAATAATCCTACACGGATATACAATAAAAAACATTAATAAATTTCAAACAAACATGATTATGATGACGGTGTATCTAAACATCAATTTGAAAAACAGCTTCTTTTTTTTTCAAATTTTTATTTTACATATTTAAAGTCTAAGACACGTCAAAATTATAAACTGTTTCCGAATAATCAACGCATATCATTTTTTCTTTTCAATAAGTTCTTATTTGAAACATTAAAAAATTGTTAGGTAAAAAGAAAAAAACTTGAATAATTTTAACTTAGTAGCAAGTACAACTTCTTGATTAAATAAGTTTTGAGCAAAACATTTATTCTTCATTAAATTTTTTTTAAGTGTAAAAATTTCATCTGTAGATTATGAAAAGTTTCTCATTTTTTACATCACATACAACATGATATTTATAAGTTAAAATTGCAATTTCATAGCGTTACTTAAGCAAATTTATTATTTCAAACAAATTAAGTTTCTTTTTTTTTTAAACATCAATTTTCTCAAAACAGTTTTGTAAGGACATCACCAGTTTAAATATCACCAAAATTATATTCAAAATGGCAATACTTGCTAAATTATACTGTAAAACTGAGCAATAGGTTTAAATTGGCTAAAAATTAAATGCAATTTTGATGCAAATGTAAAAAAAATTAATGCTTACTGAAAAAATTTTTTTGATGAATATGGCAAAAAATATAATTGAAAAATTTTTTTTTGTAGAATTGACACCCAACTTATCCTAAATAAGAGTTAGATGTAAATGTAAAAAAAGCAAAATAGTTGAGAAGTAACGTTGAGTTAAAAAGATGCAGATGATAAAAAATATAATTGTGATATTTACGTTGTAACACTGAGTTCATAGTTTTAGAATTGTGTTTCAAGAACAACTTTCTTCGTTATCAGCAGACTAAATGATAAATTCGAGTTTATGTCATTATTTACTTAATATTTTTACAAATACGTGATTTACATCTTTATCTTTTTTTCACCAGTATTTCAAATGCTAAATGACGTCACTTTAAATACCAACTGCAGTCAGAGCATTTTAGGAACATTAAAACCAAAGACTTTGATATATTTGATTACTAAATATATAATATCATAATCTCAACTAATCAACTAGGAACAACAAATCAACAACATATTAAACAGGCTCTAAATTAACAAAATCAGCTAGAACTGAATATTCTTTTTGAGTTCGTAAAGAACAGAGTAGCAACGAATTAAACTTGACTCTATATTCTAATCACAGTTTTGTGCTAACATTCTAAAAATGCTAAATTAGTAAAGGAATTTGTATACAATTGTTAAAAAGTACCTAACATAAACAGTTAAAAGACAACGGTCAAAATTAGCTTGTATCTCAAAATCAAATAGACTATTCTTTCAGATAAAGAACAGAGCAACACGAAATTGAACTTGATCCTGTCTCAGTTTTGTGTAAAAATTCTTAAAAATTGATACTGGTAAATTAAAATTTGCACTTAATTCTTCAAAGTACCTTACATAAACAATTAAAAAAAACTGTTAAATGTTAACTGTCAAAAAGAGGTGGAATCACTAGATCTAAGTAATTTTCTCTTATATAAAGAACACAATACCAACAGATTAAATCTGATTTAATATCCTAATCACAGTTTTGTGTAAAATTTGAAAATGTTAAACTATAAAAGATTTTGCCCTTAATTCTTCAACTTTTGAAATATACTAAGCATGGGAATTCAAAAAGAATCAACCAAGTTCTCAGGCAAATTTACACGATAAATGTTTACATTCGCAACAGTTTTGGGTTACTTAAGTAAGTGAATAAGTCTGGAATAATAATAATAATTAAACATTTAAATCTTGATTATAAGCCATTTACCACAAATAACCTTAAGCCCATTTCTCTCTAATCAAATATTGCGTACACATAAAATATAACATATTAAATTTACCCAAACCTTAATGGAATTATAGCCAATAAAGCTAGATAAAGTAAAGCTAAAAGCGAATTAAGGTTGTTTTGATTTAGCGATCATAAACCCAATCATAAGGGTGAAATGCTCTAACTGCAGTTGGTGTGACAATGTTTATCGAAAACTCTTCGGTGCAACTTTTGGTTGATTTGTGTTTCCAAAGAGCCGCCGCGACTTGTAAAGTGTCCACTCAATCAATGTGGTACAGGAACATCTACCAAAATATCACCTATGCAAAATGCCATCATGCAGTCGCCACGTGGAGTTTTTTAGTGGTCAGTGCTATAGCACCTATGCTGTTGTCATCATCACTTAAGTGTCTTCCGCCGTTTAAATGCGATTCGTTTGAATCATCACTATGGTGCGCGGTCCTACCTGTTCCGTTTAGAGGCTTTGCGATGCCTATTATTTTGCTCTTCTGGTCAGCAATCCTCTGGGACAGTGGTCTTGTGGCAAATGGATGAAGGTGGCATTCACAGCTATTACGATGGTGGCGGAGGTCATCCTCGATAGCCTCCACTTCGGAGTCACTCCTCGAACTAGACAGATCGAGGACCCCCTCGACAGTCGAGAGAAACCTATTTGGAACAATAACTGTCACTGGTTGCACCTCGACAGAGGACGGAGACAACCTCATGTCTATAGCTTGCGTTTGCATGGTTAATTTGTCTCGAATAAAAAGCTCGCGTTGTTGGGGAGTTAAAATGCGAATGGTTCTACTTGGTTTTCTTCGATTACCGTTGGTACCATTGGTTCCGTTTGTACCGTTGATGCCGTGTGTACCATTGGTAACGCCATTGGTTATTACCATTATCTCATTGTGATGATTGTTGTGATGATTATTGTGGTGGATAATAGTTTCTACTGGATGAACAGACGGAGGAGATGGTTGCTCAGCTTCTGATGAGGAGTTGTTGGTGTCAACCATGTTCTCCTCGTTATCCGAAATGTCAGGCAGAAGTTCACCATCAAGATCTTCGTGATCTTCATGGTCGGAAGTATGGATTTGCTCGTAAACTTTGGGTCGCCTGCCTTTCCTGGACTTGCCCAAGTTGGATTCATCTTTAGGGCATTTGTGATGAATCAGGTGATGTCTGCGACGGAATCGTCCCAGGCACTCTTGACACTGAAAGGGTTTCTCACCTCGGTGAATGAGCATGTGAGCTTTCAGTTGATTGCTGTCTGAGAAACGGGACTCACACATTTGGCAAGCATAAGGCCGCTCACCCGTGTGCACTCGAAGATGTCGCCTGAGGTTAGCAACTTGCACAAAGTGGCGATCGCAGTGGGAACATTGATATGGCTTTTCACCCGTGTGCAAACGCATGTGAGTCTTGAGGTGGTGATCCCGCGTAAACCGTTTGTGGCACTCAGGACACTCAAATGGTTTTTCGCCTGTATGTGTACGTTCATGGTTTTGCAAGACATGCTTGTAACCGAAGCTTCGGTTACAGATCCTGCAGAAGAACTGCTTCTCGCCGTTCTTTGGGACACCGTTTTTGGTTTTGTCGCTGTCTCCATTGGTGCTGGCGGCGTCTGTGATTAAGGTGCCGCCAACAGGCAGGGCGTTGATGTCCACAGCCACCTCGGCCACGCCGTTACGGCGACTTTGCTCGTCCAAAGATCTCATATCGCACTTGTCGCCTCCACCGTTGGTGGCGCTGCTTGCAGTCTTCACTCCTTCCGCAACCTCCGGCCCGTCCTTCATAGTCAGCGGCCACGGTTAACCTACGGACAGCAAGAAGAAGAAGAAGCAGTAAGTAACAAGGAATCTCATTAGTGCTTCTTTTTTATTATTTATTTTTTTAAAAAAAAGAGAGAAAGAAGCGCAGAATAAAATTATGCTAATGCTTAACGAATCAATGCGAAACAAACGATCCTCTGTACCTGCTTATGCCGCACCCTCATTAGAACCGCCGATACGCTACGCTTTTAATTGGCTGGCGCGAAACGTAAAAAGTAATTCAAAGTGCGGGGGTGGGAAGGAAAACAAAAGAAACTCAACTTTGCCTCCCGTCAGCGCAAACATTCGAGAAAAAAGGGGGGAAGGAAAAATCTCTTCTTTCTCTAAGCGATGATGAATAGGGAAGGATACACATTAGAAAAATGCTTGATGAGAAATATTTACTCCACGGCCTTAAGTCGCGCTTTGCCTCAACTTCTTTAATCTATTTTTCAACCCCTTCTCGACCCCCNCAAATACTTGTACTTTTTTTAGTTTCACGCTCGCGTGACAGAGCCTCTTTTTCGCGAGACGCCAACAAATTTGATAAGAAATAAAAATGGCTCATTAATGGGGAACATAGAACAGCGATTTATCTTTAATTTTTATATTTAGTACAGCGCTAAAATTTTTTTTTCTAATTAAAAATGCTTTGGTTAATTAGCGGTGCTTTTAAAATAAGGCGTATTAACAGAAGCCTTATGTAAAATAACAATTACTCTAAAATTAAAAGTGTTGGGAGGGGGGGAAATGTCAATTTTCCTTTAAGTATTTAAGAAAACATATTAGAATCAAGGCTTAAAAAAAACACAATTTTTGTTGAATTTTAAAGGTTACTTACAATAGATTTTATTTTAATGGCTTCAAAACTTTAGTTAGTATGACTTCATTTAATGTTTTTTTTCATAGCTTTATTTTTTTAGGTAGGAATTTTACTTACGTTGCCCTAGAGCTGTACAATGAGCTATTTATTGACGACGGTCTGAAAAGCATTCCTGAGGATGATCCGAAGACATGCCTTTGCAATTTTTATCCTCTGCAGAGAGGAAGGCTCCCTTGCTTTGGTAGCCCGACGACCTGCGCGTGAAGTCGAGCACTTTAAGGTAGAACAGTTTAACGAGGACAGGCATGGCGTACCCTCGGTCTCTACGCAGACTGATGAAAGTAGTCACCCACCCGCTTACTGACAGCAGCAAGTTCTACTGGGTTCTAAGTTCAACCGTGTCCACTGCGGGACTGCTTTATATTGGATTACTAGTCTTTTTATATCGAAACACCCTCAGAAAAATCGGTTAAACATTGACCCATAATATCGGTACCTTGAGTCATAATAAGGTGCAAGATTGCTTTAAGCTTAATAAAGTGTTAAGTAGAACCCTAGTGTCGGATAATCAAGTTTATAAAATACAATAATATGGAACATATATTATGTTACACCATACTAAGGTTGTAATGAATTTGAACGATATTATGATTCAACAATTCCGATGATCCCAACAACAACAATGTCCGAAATTTCTAACATAATGAGTAATTTTGAAATTAAAAATTTATTTCCCAATTTAAATATAATCACAAACTATCTTAATGAATATGAATTAGGAAACGCATAGTCGAAGAACAAGTTAAGCAAATTTCAGAAAAGTCGAATGTTTAGAAAAAATGTTACGAAATTTCTCATTAAAAACCATGGAGCTTTTTTAACATCCTTGTTAGAAACAAGCTTATACGTGTAGAGACTGGCATGTTTAATAAATGTTCTTTGCAAATGGCCAGCAATAACATGTTTTTATCAAACCGGATAATATAGCACTTTCAAAATATCACTTTAAAATTATCTTTCCCCTATATGTATTTTAAGTTAATACTATTTTAAAAACAAGCACAGCACTTTCAATCTTACACATTTTGTAACATTTTTAAAGTAAAGTAAAACAGCAAATCAACACATCAATTTTTAATAATATGTTAAAACATAATAATTAAGAAAAAATATGCTCACAAGAACAAACACACAAAATTAATAAACAAGTGAGCATATGAAATAGTATAAAATTAATTATAAAAGAATTATTAGAAAACAATTAAATATATTAGTTAATTGTTAGCTATTGTTAATTAGAGAACAATTTAAAAGATGTATTGGCCAAAAAACATATTTATTTCTAATTAAAGGTTTAAAAGTCTCATTAATGATTAATAAAATGTTATTATTATTTTATTCTCAAAAAAAAATTTAAAAACATGATACAGCAATTTAAATGGTGGATGGAGCCATTTTAATTCATCATAAATTTATTTCGAAAATAAAGGAGACAATAAAATTTTTTTTTTATCGTGACAGTTAGTAAATGTTTTTGAATTGAACCGGGATTTCTGTTTCGTTTTTAATAGTTTACGGAAGTTAAAAAATTATAAGTTTCTCTAGAAATTAAAAATAAATAAACAAAAATAGTTGGCTATGATACCGAGGATTTTCGTTAATTTTAACCATTAGTTTTAATCAGAATTGTAACAGGAAAATTCGAAATAGCAACAAAATTTTTCTAAGAATGTTTAAGGTTGTTAGTTAGAAATGAGCAACAGTTATTAGTTCAATTAGTAAGAAATGAACAACATTTTCACATTAAATTAATACTTTATACTAGCAAGTTGATCAAATTAGTAACGGTTACTATTTGATGTTCCCTTTTTTGTACTGATAAGAACAAAAAACTATGCACGAAGAAATAATTTAATTAAGATTAATTTTAATAATTTATGTAAGCAAACATTAATCAATGTAATCATATATTGTATTTTATTACAAAAATTAATGATTGTCTCTAAAATTTCAGCAAAACGAAATTTTTTCCCAAAAAATTGATTTTTAGAAACTTTTGTAATTACTTTTTGCAAAGAGTAACATACAAACTAGATAAACAGTGAACTCTTTTCTTCTGGAGAGAATAATTATGCATAAAATGTTTCAATAATAATCACTCACTTTCAATATTTAGTTAAATCTGTTAAATTAATTACGACAGAAAATACGGTATATTTATTATTGAATTTATTACGACAGAAATATACGGTACATTAGGGTTATTCTATTTCCAAGCTAATTTCTCCTCCTCAGACAACGTTCCTCTTTCTATTGTGCTTTCACATTCTCTTAATTATTGTTGAAAATTCTTAATGTTTGTTAAGATTGATCGTATTACACAAGCCGTAATTTTATAACTGAGAAAAAAATGGAATTCTTCTGATTATAGTCAAAATATCTTGAAATTTTCATAATATCATCAAATTATTTTGAAATTTTTATCACTTGTGCCATTATTTTTCTTACCGGTCTTTATACTATTTTACTTCAATGAATACTATGATCTTAATGTTTAAATACAAAGAAAGAATGGATTGGATTGTTAATTTTTTAATGCCACAACAATCACGTTGTTTATTAAAATCAAAGTAAAATTAGCAGTAAATATTAAGTTAGGGACAGAAAATAGGAACCGAAAATATATTCATTATGTTTTAATTTATTAAAATGATTTTTTTCCACTGAGAAGAAAAATAATATGGTAAAAATTAACAAAACATGGTACAATTTACTGTATTTCTCTGCTTCTATGTGAACACCAAGAAGCTCAGTAATTTTTATTGAAGCGTTATGGTAATGATTTTGGTAAAATTAACAATAATATAAGAATTTATGATATGTGATAAAATTTGATAAATATGGTAAAATTTGATAATTCTATCCTGATAACTTAGAGAATAGCATAAAAAGCATTTAATTGATTCAATTTAATTTTGACTTGTGTATTTTTTCACTAAATGTTTGGTAATAAATACTATAATCTTAAAATCCAGAATTTCTGTTAAATCGTTACTATATGAGCGGGGAAATTACCAAAAATTAATGATTTATATGCCGTATATTTTAGTTATAGTAACCGGGATTGTTTTCATTTTTTATTTATTTATTTTTAACTAGAAGAGTAATTACCATGCAGTTCTATAGTTTAACTGGAATTTTTTTCTTAGTTTAATTTAACCAGTCTGATTTTAATAAATTTGGGGAAGTAGCTTTAACAACTTAAAATGGTAAAAATATCTTAAAGGAAGACTAATTTTTTTTAAGAAATAAAAGAAATATAATAAATTCTGTTTTTTAATAATAATTTTGCTTAATTATAAATAATTTTTGTAAATATTTCATCAGGATATTTTCGATACATACATTTAGAAAAAAGACGAAGAAAAGAAAGAAAATAAACTGGTAAAATTGCTGAAAACATCGGAAAGAAAGTTAGAAAACAGACTAAGTCACGTGGCTTGAGAAAGAAAAACAATTAAAAAAAAAATGTTAGAAAAATATTTTGTTGAGAGGTGAGTTGCGTAGACAGATATGTTGCGTCTAGACGTTCCGGTTGCCTATTTTTAGTCCTTAAATACCAGTGGCTTTGCGCTAAACAACTAACTGAGAGACTCTCTCAGAGACAAGAAGGGGGGAGAGAATTCGAAGACAAATGACAGATAGCTGTATTTTGCCTCGAAAGTTCGGTACGTTGACTTGTTATTCTGTGTTTGCGGCAAGCAATCGAAACCATTGGCTGTTTTAGCGACATTAAGCCAATAGTCAAAGAAAATATTTTGGGCAAACGCCAAATAACAATTAGAATGTAATTAATGAAGCCTATAGGCGGGCCTAAATGAGTAAGTTTAGAAAATGGAGAATTTTTGCGTTACAAGATCCCACCAGGAACATGCTGCGTAGATTTGTCTCAAACAGTTTAAATTATTATGTTTAAAATTTTTCCGTTAGTTTTCATTTTAAATCTCCCCTAGTTTCAATTAATTAATAATATTTCGTAAATTACTAATTAATTATAGCATTAAATGTCTGAATCAACTGAAAAATTACTTGAAGAAAAATTTTCAGCGATATTTTGTATGTTAATATTTCAATTGTCTGGAAATCAAATTACTAAAAAAATCCTACCAAATACAATTTTCC